AAAAGTGTGCATAAATGGCTAGCAAAGTGACAAAGTGAAATCATAGACTCATTAATGTCCAGCACTACTGAACACTGCTTGGCTTATATTTCAGTAACTGATAGCTAATATTGCCACAAAGATACAAATTTCAAATGAACACATTAATCTTTTAACTCTATTACAATTAGTGATGGTAGAGTTAGATAAGACACCACAGAAAAATATTTTCCTAAAGGGATTTAAAATAATACAAAACCCAGGAATTTGAAGTTTCCCCTTCCCTAAGTTCCGTTTTCATTCTCTGCTGCACCTGCTAAGGCCCCTAGATCAGGAGCTCCTCCTCCGCACCCCACAGGGTGGCTCTGTCAAAGAATCACTCAGTGTACCAGGCTGAGTATCTCACCACGGCACTATGAGCTCCTTACAGTCAGCAATGATGCCTGTGCCTCTCAGCACTTCTGTGTCTCCAAACATAACAGAAGTTCAGTAAAAGGCAAGTTGACTAACAAGTACATATTTTATATGATATGGTTCAGGGTTTATACTTTACGGGCTGACCTTTAAGGAAGGTAAGTAGCTTAGAATCAGGAAAGAAAGAATCATTCAAGATAGAGACACTGGGGCAGGGGGCATAGTTCAGTGGTAAAGCACTTACATAAGTGAGGCCCTGGTTTCAATCCAGGCACCACAAACAAACAGAATTTTTGAGCACTCTGCAAGCATCAGGCAACAAGTAAGGTGCAGGGTTAGAAAGAAGACCCAGTGGCATGCAGCAGATAAGCATCTTGCTCCCACTAGGGAATAGATAAATTCGAGTTAAAGCTTGATCCACTCTGCTGGCCCTCAGAGTGCTCCCAGTTGCAAAGCCTGTTCCACTAGAATGATGCCTTTCAAATGTTGACAGCACTCCTAGTAAAAAACACATTCTGTAGCACCACTCAGTACAGATAGACACATTTCTGATCTTATCTATTTAATTCTATTCAATTTCACTTTTTTTAAAGAATGAAGTCTTCTATATTGCCCAGGCTAGCTTTGAACTCCAGATCCTCCTGCCTCAGCCTCCTGAGTAAGCTGGGATTACAGGCACAGGCCACCATGCTCCAGGCAATTTCACTTTTTAGAAATGTCCATCTTGACATACTAAACTGGTTCTATGACTCAAAAGTTAAATATGTTCTAGAATATACATTTTTAAAACTTTCTAAAATTTCAAAGTCAGTGGCTAGGAATTGTAGCTCAGTGGCAGACTGCTGCCTAGCATGCATGCGGCCTTGGGTTCAAGCCCCAGTACCCCACACACAATTCCAAGGTCACATTTAATTCCTGAACATTTTTCTTATATAACAAATCTGTACCCCAACAACAACAAAAAAGCAGACCACTACCAAATAGTAAAATAACTGACAAAAATGAACATAGAGCCAAGGCAGCCGGGGAGTAGGAGGAAGCTAAACCCAGTCTGCCATCAGCTTTCCCTAAAGCCATCCCAAATAAATAATCTAAGGAAAACAGCATTTGCTAAGCAAAACAGCTTTGGCGGTAAGTCCTCAGACACCCAACTGCCCACCAGCCAGACTTGGGAGTCCCCAGACTCTTACTCTATATGGAAATTCTACAGATTCCACTTACAATGAATACTGTAAACTATTACAGGTACAGAGGCTAATTAAATGTGTTTGGATGATACTATTTCATTAGAATAAATGAAAATCAAAATAAACATTTAAAAAAATAAAGGGTTTTTGTCTAAAAATCTTTCTGAAAGTATCCCAGATCTAAAGGAAGCAGGCAGAAATGAATCATTAGTTAACTTGCTATCTCTTCTAGTTTGCCCTTTTCAGACATCAGGACAAAGGCAGTATGAAACTCATCCTAGACATGAGCTGCCCTGACAGTACTTCCCTCTAAAGGTAAGTGCTAACTTAAGCACAAGGAACAAATTAAAGGTGAACAAACCCCACTATCTTCAGCATACTTTCAAGAAACATGTGCCCTTGAAAAGACAAAGTCAGAAACAGGCAGAAAAAGAGTATCACTCTTCCCTCTTCAGCATCCTTGGGTAATTCTCTAGCTCTGAGAACGCACACAAAATACAAGAATGTTCAATGAGCTTCTTTTGCTGTTGGCTCATCATTCTACATCAAAGAACCATGTCTGCTTTTAAAGGGCTCTTTTTTTTCTCCAGTCCTGGAGACTGAGTTCAGGGATGGATCACTGAGCAACATCTCCAGCCCATTTCTTTTTCTTTTTCTTTTTTTGAGAAAAGGTCCTACTAAATTGCCTATGGTGGCCTTGGAACTGGCAATCTCCTACCTCAGCCTCCTGCAGAGCTGGGATTATAGGTGTATACCACCACACAAGGCTAATGGACTGATTTTTGTGATGTCTGACTCAGATTAGAAGACAATTTCACAAACTTTAATAAATATCCTTGTTTCCCCAAAAGAAATCTAGTTAGTTGAGGGCCTAGGAATTAAACCCAGAGAGCTGTTGCATGCTTAGCAAGTACTCTACCACCGAACTACATACCTAGAATGGAAATCTGTTTAAAACTAGAAAAAAATGTTCCTTTTACAAAGATGAAATATAATTTTCCTAAGAAAATGGAAAAAGCCCAAATTACCATTTATTAGCTCTGTCCAGTACAACTTCACGAGGATGAAAGTGTTCTCTAGCTGCTCTGATCCATGGTCACTAAGCCAGCTGGTACTGAGCATTTGAATGTGGCTGGTGTGATTGAGCTCAATTTCCATTTCACATTTAAATCCATTTAAATGTGCACAGCCACATACAGCTAGCCACTTCCACGTGGGGTAGCGTAGGTGAGATAATCACCAATCCTCAGCAGCAAAGCCGCGTGATTGACTTGTCCTACACTGAATGTCACAATTTGAAAAATTACTGTTCTACACCCATATTCAGTTCTCAGCTTTAAGTCTTCCTCAGAAGTGGTTCCCCAACAAAGTTGTGGCAATTTTTATTCTGAAACATGAACATACTAGATCTGTAGAGCAGAACTCTTTTTGGAACGTTCAATTTTCTGTGACACTCTGGAATAGGGAAAGGGGAAAAAAGGTAACAAGAACACAGTCCTCTTGACCCAAAGGGAAGAAATGAAATACATAATCCAAAGGAAGGCTAATGTAGCCCAAGACTTTTTATGGGAATACCTGCTCAGCAGTTCCTGCTGAGATCTGCTGCTTTAAATACAGTTGTATTAAATTCACTCCATTTATTTGACCTTCTGTCTGTATTGTTATGATCAGACTATGACCATACCCTCTGAAATCAAGTGTTCTACCTAAGGGAAAACCATTTAAAATATACACACTACCCCAAGAAAGAGCTACCTCAAGAAAATATGTTTCAACATACACTGCAGCCATGCTACAGCCAGAGGATGACTAACTTCAAGCAGCCACAACGCAGTCCTTATAATTTCAAGGTCAATGGAAAACTAATTTTTTTCACCTTCCTATCATGCTGACACAAATATTTTACACACAGATGAACACAAACATTTCAGTAATTTCATTGTGTTTAAGTGGAACAATCTTCTAAAATCTGTTTGTAAAGACTGTAAGCTCATTTTAAACAAGAAAACTTCACGAAGAATAAAGCCACTAGTACCACGCAGCACATCTGGGAAAGCTCAAGCTGTATAAAGCAAAGCCATTCCAAGACAGCAGAGCAATTCACATAACAAATTCAGCATCCCTGACTACAACTTCACTTCTTTCCTCTACTACTGCCGCTGCTACCATCATGTCCTAAGAAAAGAACTAAAAGCTCACCTAGTGTACCCAAAGAGCACTGAACTCTACAAGACTCAGGACCAGTACACAAGGCACACCCTACCCCAGGAGCCCCTGTGCCTGCAGAGAGTAATCAACGGCATTAGGGAAAAAGCAATTCAAGAGCATTCTGACACAGCCAGGGTCTGCCAGGCTCCAGAAAAGCTGTGTCCTGTCAGTCCTTTCTCCTGGGCATGGATAAAACCTGCAGATGCAGCCTGGGAGGTAGAGACGGAGATGGGATTTAAAATGGAGAACTGCCGCTCTGCTTGACCCTTAGTGTGTGTGCCCCTCACTCTTCCAAGCTATGAACCACAGATCCCACCAAGGAGCCCAGAATCTGCAGCAGGGTCGCTGAGGAACCTGCTGCCCGAAGTCTAAACACCTCCATGATAAAAGCCTCTCCATCTGACAAGTGCTAAGAACCTCAAGGTTTTCTTCATTATCCCAATTCTTAGAGGAAAAACCCCCCAGTGAATGTAATAAAGAATGCTGCATTTTCACATGACAAGCATAAGTTCTCAAAGTACATGACGTTTATAAGCAGAAAATAAACACTTCTCATTTAGTTCCATAAAAGTCCAATTCAGAGCAGTGTTACTCCTCCTCCCCAAATGCTATTTAAAAGTAGAAACAGAAATGCAAAGACGTTCAAGAGATAAAGCAGCTTAACATAGGTAACTTAATTTTTTAAAATTTAATACTTTTGCGAGATAAAATAGAGATTCTAAAAAACAGAAGAGAACAGAGAGCCCTTTTACTGGCTTGGCTTATAATGTTAGCAGTACACTATTACATTAAATGGAAAAACTTACTAAACTCTCTTAGCACAAATACAGCTCAGACACTTGTCTAAATTCCCAGTGTTTGTGAGCTAAACACCTCACATCTTCACTTTATACGCCCTCAAGCTCTATGTAACGTACTCCTAGTTCTCTTTGAGAGCTTTGGCAGCCTGGGTCCAATAAATAAACGTCAATCACATTAAAAATATTATTTAAGGAATCTATTAATTTTTAATTACCAAATAATACCTCTGAAAACACGCTTCCTCGGTGACAGTCTGACCAGAACACGACTGCTTTCTATTTCTTTCTTCAACAGTGAAAGCATAAAAGCATCTTCAACTCAGCGCAGAAGATCTACTCAATCATGGCTCCTGACCTAAGCATAACAATTTTTTTTTTCATATGCATTAAACAAAAGTGCTCTCGCCCTTACCTGTGTATCCAGCATGCCATCCCCAGGAAGCCACCATTCCTAAAAGCCATTTGTACATGATTCCTTCAATACACCAGAACCGCTTACTGTCCAGCACGCGCAGGGGCTGCAGCAGAATTAAATAGCAGATGTAGGATGGAATAGCAACCAGGTTGTTGGCGACCATGAAGGCGAATCTCAGCAGGGCTTTCACCAGGATCCAGCCCAGACGCGGCGCTCCTTCCAAAGTCACAGCCATCCTCACACTGGAGTCGGTCCTGCCTGTCTGGGAGGTGAAAGGAGAACTCATTTACAAAGGAAAATGGATGGAACACATCTAAATCAAACAGTCACCAGCCCAGGAACTGACTGCAGCACACACAGAAGAGAAGCGAGGATGTCCAAGCGGGCCGGGTGCAGGATCTCGGTGATCTGCCGGGCAAATTCCTGAGGGGGACCGAGAGCGAGCAGAAGCACCGCGCAAGGTCAAGGGAGCGTGCACCGAGGCGCGCGGGTCGCCGTCCACCCACGATGAGAGCACGGTGCCCAGCCGCGACCTGGTGGCGGTCCCCGCACCGCGGCTCCCTGCGCTCGTGCGGTGGACTCCGGCGCGGAGAAATGGACCCACTGGCTTTTGACACCCTCGGTGTCCCCACACGGAGGACGCCGGGGACACGAGGGAAACCACGGAGGCAGGGACCTCTGATGCGGTCCCCGGACCCTGAGGACCTGGTGCCCGGCAGCCACCATGCTCGCACGTCACTCACTCCTTTCAAAGGTCTCTCGCCGCGGCGAGGAGAGACGCTCTTTCGGAGCCATGGGGGGTTCTGTTTTAAAAAGGGGGGTCAGCAGACAGGGGAAGCGGGAGAGGAAGAAAGCGGGCGACGCGACGCCCAGGCGGCGGAGGGGGGA